AAAAAAAAAAAAAAAAAGAACAAGCCCGACACTCACTATGTAAATGTGTGTGCCGGATGCGCAACCCATCGATGCAGGTAGGTCTTGCATACAAAACAAGTAGGATTGCCCGTCTACTGAGGAAGCATTCCCTTGCAGCAATATGAAATCAACACACACACACACACACACACACACACTCTCTCTCTCTCTCTCTCTCTCTCTCTCTCTCTCTCTCTTTTGAGGGGGCCCTTCCTTGGTTCTTTTCGGATTTAACTCGCGCGTTTTATTATAAATGTAGCCATCGTATGATATTGGGCCGCTCTTGGAAGTGTCCCTGGCTAGTAATTGAGAGCTAGTGCGTTTACGAGGTGAAGCTCCCAAGTCTATGTATGCTGTAGACTGTCAACTCAGGCTATTATTACTCTAAGTATTAAAAGTCGATTAGAGAGTAGACTAGACTTATGCCTATGCCCTCAAGTACTTGTAAAGCGCGCCAATGTCACCCAGCCAAGGAAGCGACAGTCCCTGAGAAATACACTTAAACCGACCTTGGTTTCTGCCACGGTCCACATACTCAAGTCGATGGCTTCGGAGAATCTTCAGTTGCAGAAGGCTATCTTCTCTTCAGTTACGCCCATTCTTCAGGTTGTCATCGAACAAAACTGGATCACCTTGTTCTCCAAGGTTGACGAAGTTATTCGGGGCACTTTTCTCGTTAGGGGATACTTCACGCTCTTGTGCATTCTTTGCTGGATGGTTGTGAACACGTTTCCCAGCATTGTTTTTGTGGAAAACTTTGACAGGAGCACCACTTTTTTGCTCATGTTCACTGTAGCCAACATCATTGATATTGCTGAGAAGCGTCCTTTCGCGAGCTAGCTTTCTTTTTGAGAAGTCTAGCTTTCCCAAAGCCCCAGTCAGGCCGTCTGTGCTGTCAGAAACACTAGGCTGCTTTCCTGTAATCCATGGGTGCTCTAAGCATTCATCCACCGTAATTCGGTCGTCAACGTTAACTGTGAGCATTCGGTCTATCAGATCCAATGCCAGATCACCCACAGTGTCCCAATACGGAGACGGATAGTCGAAGCTCCCTTGTTGTATTTGCTGTGCTAAAGTGTACGGGTGCTCAGGTGTGTATAATTCGTCAGAGAATGGGGGAAATCCGCAAAGGCATATGTATAAGACGACTCCGAGAGACCAGACATCCACAGCCTTTGTGTATTTCCGATAGCGCCGCTCCTGTAGTATTTCTGGCGCGACATCTACAGAATCAGTATTAATTTTCTGGCTTTCGAGCGGATTAGAAGACTCACAGGTTGGTGTGCCGCATCTTACCAAATATAATCGTTAGCACAAAAACTAAATAATCTGGGAGTACATGCCATACAGTGTGGTAGTAAACGAGTCTTCACCGATAATCTTGGCTAATCCAAAATCACCAAGTTTCACAGTCAACTCTTTGTCCGCGACCAGAATATTTTCAGGTTTAATATCACGATGAATGATACCTCGATCGTGCTAACACACTGCTTTAGTCGCTACTATCAGAAAATAAGGGGCATGGAGGTGGTAGAACATACCAAATACTTCAGCCCCTCAAACAATTGGATAAAGATGCAACGAGTCTCACTTTCTGAAAATTTCTGCCGGCTGATAATCAAGTTGAACAATTCGCCTTCTGGCGCGAGTTCCAGGACAAGATAAACGCCGTCGCTTTCATCAAATGTATCTCTGAGGCAAAGCAGATTCGGATGACTGACGCCCTTCAAGATACCGATTTCCTGATGAAGAACTTCGTTCTGGGAGCGCTGCGAGTCACCAGAACGTTTCTCAAAAACTTTCACGGCATACTGAGCCCCCGTAGACCGTTCTACGCAAAGGTAGACTGTGGCGAAATGGCCTTTCCCAAGCTGTTGCAGAAGCCTATATTGTTGGCGGAAACGATTGGTGTCTCGTGTCCGAGGATATCTGAAAACAAAACGTGCTTCATCTAGGATGGTGACCTCATCGCCATCTTCAAGTTCACGGTGTTTATTCTGGCCCACCATTGCATCATTGACAAAAGTACCATTAGTGGAGAGATCCTGGAGAAAGGCAACGGCATCGCCTTTCCTATTTTCGGAAAATACCAAAGCATGTCGATTCGACACAGTAGGAATGTTTATCACCAGGTCTGGTAAGCTTCGTTAATTGTTTGTAAGACAATATGATCTGGATACCTACCGCATTCAGGATGTCGGCCTATTAGGTAGCCGCTAGGTGAATTCTTTTGTTTACTAACGGAGCCCGCACTCGTTTTCGCGGACCCTTTCTTGGAGTTAGTCGTAGATGCTGCGGATTTGCGCTCCTCGCATCCTCCGCGTTTCCTCAGTACCAGAGGACGGCGGACCTTATCATCAAGCGGAAGAAGGTATCCCCAGACTCCCTCTGCAGCTTCGTCTTCGACTTCATCGGCAAATGCTCTAGGGGGGTAAACGAATTGTGAAAGGGCTTGTGTATCGCTAGGAGGTGATGAACTATCTTGAGGGAGTTCCGGATCTGAAGGTGTCCGCCGATGTTGTTTTCGGCCAGGCTCATCTGGTGTAGCAGTCGTCTCCTTTTCGATGTCTGTGGCAGTTGAATCTCGTTGGGTCAAGGGTGTGGGCAAATAGGACTGATCGTCTAAAGCCTGTGCTTTGCTTTGGGGATTGTTCCTCTCGGAGCGTCGTGGCTTTTTAAGATCTTGTGAATCATTATCGGCGGAGGCCTAGATGTTTACGCCATCGTCAGTCCAATTAGTCACAAGGGAATTGATGGTAACAACATACTCTGCCACGCTTGAGGGAGCTTTTTTCGTTCTGTGGTGCCATTTTATTGCCTATTCACATCCTATTAAGTACCAATAGTCACAAAATCAGCTTGGCTTGCACGGCTCAAAACTCAAATAAGGCATAGCAACCAGAGTAATAGCACTGCAGATATTGCCGGGTCTCTCCTATGCTTCGAAGCCAGGGGGGAGATGCTCAAGTGGAGAAGTCAAGAGGGTATGTATGAACACTGGAGAAAATACGGGCGAGCAAATCAAAGGGGCAGCAAGAGAACCGGAAAAGTAATTTCACTGGAAAACCTAGATTTGGCTAATGCAAAGAGATAGACAGAGCGATCTATTGTAGAACAAACCAAGGCTGCAGTGTACATAGAAGTAAGTCACAAACAACCTTGAGCGCGTGGTACCTCAGCTCCCGGTATGGGTAGGTCGCACCAAGCAACACCCTACGGCTTAAGTCGTCATTTATCATAAATACTGTCACCGCTTTCGACCCAGCACCCCTCACATTGTATAGATACGTGGGGAATTAAATGGGAGATGAAAGGATGTATACTCATAGGCATTTTACTTAGCTGAACATTTCTGCCTCACAAATGGACTTTAGCATTCTTGACTCAACCTACAGGTTCAAAACGCCTAATACTTGAATACTGTAGCACACGTACTTTGTACTTGGTTCTGAGGTTGACTCCGATGTCATCAATTAAATAACGAATGGAGTAACACCGGCTCTGACATTGAGCGACTTTTGGTCGCTAATGAAATTGGGTACCATTCAAGATCATGTCGCGATTGACAAGTGTGTAAACTATTATATATGGTATACATACAAGCTTACACAGTAGAGAGACAGCAGGATCTGAGTGGAGAGGATAGTGTACTATCATCAACCAAACACTGCATAGGAGCATAAATCACTATGTAAGTAAGACGGGTAGAACTCTGCATGAAATCCTTATTGGCCGTTGAAGTCTCTGGAGGAAGCATTCGCCTTCCCCAGATGAAAGCAAAACAGTCAATGTTCATGAGTGCAACACAGAAGCGTTGAGGCCCACGTGTCTGCCGTACCGAGGTTCTCCGGGAGGGAACCAGCTCCCCGTACTCCGCGGGACGCTAACACATAATCTCCTATCAAGGGGCTCCCCCTTGCTACCTTTGGCAATTGACATTAGTGCTCTGGAAAACAACAGTTTATTCGTCACCACACGCACTTAAAGCCGATAAACGCCAGCTAGCTGCATTAATCTGGGACTATGGATGGGTAGGCTAGCTGCAAGTCTAATGGTTAAGTTTTGTGCTGATAGGATCCGTAGCCCCTCGACTATCAGAGCTTCGGCTTTGAATAGGCTTGCGGCATTAGCAGTCAAGGGACCAGAATGCGGCAGCGATTCAGACATCGCACGACTCGCCCAGCAGTCACTATGCCCCGCACACCCCCCGAACGATACCCTTAACGGTATCTTGCAAGCCCAAGCTCCTACATCGCGGGTGCCTATGGTTCGTTAGCTCCTTTTCTCTGCTTCGTAGGTGGCTTCTAGACTGACCTCTTCAGGGTATAAAAGAGCTAGACGTGCTGGTTGCTCTATGTAAAGCGTCTCCTTCCGTGACCAATATCGAGCATGCTTCGAGACTGGTATCACTTTTGTCACAATACCTTCCCGAATCGCATAGCCAACTTTTCCGCCCTTCACCCTTTCTTCACAATGTGAAACCTTCGCCCTGGGAGAGCCTGACTCATAATCTCACGTTGGCTCTCCTCTCCCTGGGTTCTAGCCATCCACAGCTGCGTAGCATCGTGGCCGGCGCTTTCAATGAGTATCTGAGCAATTGTGCCGAAGCTATCAAAGCAGTTGCGCCCCTTCATCACTACCAAGCGGAAGCAAACAGTCGGGATGCCGAACATGAATCAACCAGCGTGCTATCGATATCGGCCTCTCTTGTCGGCTTTCTGGGAGCTTCGGCTGCACTTTCTTCATTCTGGGCTCCAAGCGAGAAGCTTCATTTAGCCAACAACTTGCGGTCGATGCTCTGCGAGCGGTTCTTGGTAGCCGTTGAGACTGCCTCGTCTATTGTGCGGAATGGAAGCATGCCTGGTTATCTGCTCAGGGAGTGGAGAAAATACACTCGCCGTTATGATGCCGATGGCCGTCCTCTAGGGGCTATGTTGCTCCAGGAAGGTTTCATCAGGTTTATCAAGTCATGCGTTACACGTGCGGCCGACATAAATGGCACATCAGGTGTCGAGTTTTCACACGATAGCCTGCCTGAATTAGGCACCGCTACAAGTTCTGACGACACAGAGATCGCTCTTATCGATCGGGTGGCAGCCATCATCGCTGATGAGATCCAGCTCCTAGAAGATGGCTCGGATTATCTGCAACTTGGCTCCCCCTGGAAGCAACGACTTGCTTTTTCCATGAAGGCCCTAGCTCTAGTTGGATATTTGAATTGTATCATTCTGTGTGAAGATACAACGAATAAGGAAGACTTTGTATCATGGCTAGAAGACACACTTATGGATCCGAGACAGATGGCTTATGCTGAATTAGCAACAGCGGTCCTGACAAGCATGGCAGTCGTTTCGCGAGCTTCCATAACGATGGCATCCTCAGGGAGCCGCTCTTTGTTGAGATTCATCGTTGAAGGAGGTGCACCGACCGGTACCACCGGTTCTATTGCAGGCAAATGCCTTGCACATGTTCTCGGTGGTCTATCTCAAGATTCTGTTATTACTACACTCTACTCCCTAGGGAATGTTCTCAGCTCTGGCTCAGGCACCGACAAGTCGTACCAAAGCCACATGCTTGGGGATAGTACCGCCCATGGAAATACACCTCTCGCATTCCCAACCACCAGAACTGGCAGTGTGGTTTCGTTTTCAGGTGATGACGAATCAAATAATCTTTCGTACAAAAATGTCGTCCGAGCTATTGTACAGATCGCAGCCAGCTGCAATGATGAGAAAATAAGCGCTTTGGCACAGTCCATGTTGCTACAGAAGATTGGGAAGGTGAATGCTACTATTGACGCTTTTATCATTACAGAAACAGCTGCTATATCATTGAGTACCGGGCAAGCCGAGTTTCAGCTCCTGCTCAAGTTCTATGATCGAGCATACCGTGATGGCATGGCCAGGGGCTACAACAGTGTTACTGATGCTGTTAAGAGTGCATTGGCATATCTCTCTATCACGTTGAAAAGAGACTCGCCACTATACGGTGTATATCTGGTTCATCTGCTGGAGAATGTCGTAAACAAGGGCGATGCTACCAATCTCGAAAGTGAGAGGCAGAAGGAGCTTGCTCTTGCAGCCGACGAAATCGGTCCTCTTCTAAGGCCCTTGGCTTTGCTCGTGTCGTCAGACCAGAAACAGCAGGATAGTGCAGATACTATCACATACTACGATCAGGATGTGTCCGCTCTATTCCGGGATGCATGGTTCAATATCGCAGTACATGGGATATCCATGCATTCAGCTGTTGGTCAAAGCCATGTTGAGGAGCTGCGCTTACTTGCCAAGCACTCTCCTCCCCTTGTCTCCGAAGATCGTATGGAGGCAACGGAAAGCGACGTTGAGTTGAACACAATCCTTAGGCGAGGAATGGGCTCACAACGTTTGCAAGAGCAGAAGCGAACTCTCCTTGCTGAACTCCCTGGTCACGAGGCCGAAACAAAGCGATTAAGCTATCCGCAAGTAGTTTTCCTCAACGCTACGATCTTGGTCGAAAAGTTTCGTGCGCTGTCCGGCAAATGTACTGGGTTCCTTGATTACTTCCGCGACCCGGCCATAGCTACTACAGAAATGACCAGCTGTATGAGTGCGATTGCAGAGAAGGTAGTGGCCAGTTACCTTTCGCTGACGATGTCCGGAAAATCCGAAGGCTTCTCTGTTGCTTATCTATCAAGAGAACTAGCCGGCTTCTTTATCGCTTGCAGTCATCGTGTTGAAAGGGTACAGAACGTCGCTGTACTCTGTGCTAACAAGATTATAAACGAATGCCCATCGGCTCTGTGTGAGAAGCACTCCCTTTTCGCTTTGCTCGAGCTTCTGACCGTCATGTGGCGCTCATGTCTAGAAGGAGAACTCGATGAGTTTGAATGGAATCCGTCATTCACTTCACCCACAGGGTTGGTCAAAGCCGATCTACCCGACAACTATAACTTCAGGAAAAGAACATTAGATGTTCTGCTTGAACGATCTAAAACATGGGTAGCGGCGGCTATGGATATTGCACCCTTGGATGTAAAAGGCCTGCTCCAGGTATGACATTCTGCTATCTAAAACTCCGGAAAGCGACTGACCCACCTTGTCAAGACATACCTATCTCTTTCGGACGACCATGCTGGATATGGCAATGTTCTGTTGGGGCGCTCTTTCGCGCTTGAGATGGGATCGCTTATCCCGAGCAGTGATCAACGTCTTGGTAGGACAACACTTCGGTCTTGACTCAGCTACTGTTTTTCTAATGTCCCCATGTTCTTCCAGGTTCAATGGACAGCCACGGACTAAGCAAGATAAACGTCGCTTCTGACTTCATTTCTCAGTATTCCACTCGTCAGAACTATAGAACTTTGTATGCACAAAGTGTCAGTGGCCCAACGCAGGGACCTAATGGGCTTGGTGGTGGGTAATACCTCAATTTGTGAACGTTCAAGGTGCTAATATGGGATAACCAGCTCATAATCTGCTTTCCGGGTCTTTGCTATCTGCAAATAAAGTCATGGAGGATACGCTGTATCAACTCAACGCACGATTGAAGTCAGGAGAAGTTGTCCCTACCGTCGCCGTTCGTGATGTGCTACGGCAAGCTGCGGGCCTCCTGTGCAGTGATAATGACCCTTCTGCTTTCATTGCTCAGTACTTGGTTCAGATACCTTTTGAGATATTCTCGAAGGAGTCGATGGACATTGGTATACCCCTCTGGCTCGGAGTAATGCATGAGAATCCGAGAGTGGAGTCCAAAATCTTGGTAGAAGTTATTGGATCCTGGGAAAAATCGATTCAGCGCCGAAAGGGGCTGTTTGACCTAAACTGCAAGTAAGTAAAGATCGTCTTCTAGCACTTTCTGATTCAATGCTTATTCAAGGGTACATAGCTACGTTGATCCAATGTTCAGCAAGATCGAGCTGCTCCCCAGCGACAAAGCTCTGATGGCGAAGAATCAACAAAAATCCCAAGGTATCCTGACACCACATTTCCAGCTTCTGCAGTTCTTCGAAAGTCATTTTGCTGCTGTTCGGCTTGCAAACTTTCAGGTCAAGTCACTTTTCGGCCGTTTTGTTGATAAAACAAGTGTGGGACTATTGCAGGCCAGTGGTCACCCCCTGGCCAGGGAACTACATTTTCGTATTGTCTTGTTTGGACTACGGGTATTGAAGGACTCCCGGTTACCAGACCGAAATCTTGAGTGGAAGCTCAAGGACCAGATTTTGTCCGCCGCTTTGACTTGGTTTAGACATCCACCGAGGTACGTTCCATCTGGTTACTACTTTTGAATATTCACACTAAGCTCAACTCATGTGTAGGTGGTCGTTCGGTGGCAACCGGTTACAGATCAAGGCCGAGGACAGGATCCTAGGAGACGTTTCTTCCGCTCTAGCAGATGTCGCTGGAGTTACTGGTCACAGTCGCAGCTCTTCTAGGACGCTTCAAGCAAGACAGGAGCTTCTCCAGATCCTTCTGGAGGACGAAAGGTCACGCCTTAGGGTTTGGCTTTACCCCTTGGAACCAGACCGGAAACATAATATGGCACAGTCAGCTGCAGTCAGAGTGTTTACGGAGGTATGTTATCCTGTCAACGAGCATACTGCTTGATGCCCGTGATAAACATGATTGCATCTAACACCTCGTCCAGGATGCAACCAATCTACTACGTCTGGCGTGGTCCGAAGCCCCAGGGTTGGCCATCCATCTTTCTACCCGCTTCCCGTCTACAAAGTTAAAGAACGACATCCGGTGGTTGCTGCTCAACTTTCCGGACAAGGCTATTGACGAGCCAAGTGCCCTTGAAGTCCTTTTTGGGTCTGCTCTTCCTGCCGACGTCCATAGCCAGCTGAAGGTATGCCAATCGTCGCTTACGTTTTTTATGATTCTGGACTGATGAGGATAGTTCCTCCTATACTGGGCCCCGGTCAACCCTGCCGAAGCCCTGACTTACTTTCTACCCACCTATGGAAACCATCCCTTCATACTGCAGTATGCGATGAAAGCCCTCGAAAGTCATTCAGTCGATGTTCGTTTCTACTTTGTGCCACAACTGGTCCAAGCTTTACGATATGATGCACTGGGCTACGTAGAAAGATATATCATGGAGACAGCGAAGTTGTCTCAGCTGTTTGCGCACCAAGTCATATGGAATATGAAAGCCAATTCCTACAAAGATGAGGATTCTCAGATTGTGAGTGCAACCGAGTGTTATCTGTCAATGAACTTGTTAACGAGTAACATTAGCCGGACCCTCTCAAACCAACACTGGACAAATTCATGGATGCTTTGATCTCAAGCTTCACAGATGAGGAGCGTGAGTTTTATGAGAAAGAATTCTCCTTTTTCAATGAAATTACGGGCATTTCCGGAAAGCTTCGACCCTACATCAAAAGAAGCAAGGCAGAGAAAAAGGAGAAGATTGAAGAGGAACTTCGTAAGATCAAGGTGGAAGTCGGTGTATACCTTCCGAGCAATCCCGACGGTGTTGTTGTGGGAATCGATCGCAAATCCGGCAAACCTCTCCAGAGCCACGCAAAGGCGCCCTATATGGCGACGTTCAGAATTCAGAAAACCAGGGCACGGTCAGAAGATGACAAAATCACTCAAAAGACTGGTGATACACGACCTTCAAATGGGGATCAAGAAACCTATGAAGTATGGCAGTCAGCCATTTTCAAAGTTGGTGACGACTGCCGTCAAGACATGTTAGCTTTGCAAATGATTGCTGCTTTCAGGGGTATATTCGCTAGTGTCGGCCTTGATGTTTGGGTGTTCCCATATCGAGTTACTTCAACGGCCCCCGGTTGTGGCGTTATTGATGTGCTTCCCAATTCGATCTCTCGCGATATGTTGGGTCGCGAGGCAGTCAATGGCCTGTATGACTACTTTATCTCCAAGTATGGAGGGGAGGAATCTATACGATTCCAGGAAGCACGCACCAATTTTGTCAAGAGCATGGCTGCTTATTCTGTCATTTCCTATCTCCTACAGTTCAAAGATCGGCATAACGGGAACATCATGGTTGACGACGCTGGCCACATCATCCATATTGACTTCGGGTTCTGTTTCGATATTGCACCGGGAGGTGTGCGATTCGAGCGTGCCCCCTTCAAGTTGACATCCGAGATGGTTGCGGTGATGAGCGGTACTCACCATGCACACACCCATCCAGGTAGCGGCTCGGGTAGTGGGCTCGGTCTCCCCGGTGGTGGTTCTCATAGCCCTACTAGCACGCAGCCTTACAAGTGGTTTGAGTCACTGGTTGTGAAGGCATTCCTTGCTTCGCGTCCGTACAGTTCTAAGCTGTCCCACATCGTGTCACTGATGCTTGACAGCGGTCTTCCCTGCTTCAAGCCGGATACGTTGAAGAACTTCCGCGATCGATTTGTACTCGATAAAACCGAGAGGGAAGCAGCTGAATACATGCGTGAGCTCGTCCGCAAGTCGTACATGAGCGTTTCGACAAAGGGATATGACCAATTCCAGCTTTTAACCAATGGCATTCCCTATTAGACCTCATAAGCTCTTTCTATCCGGGGAACGCAGCGGGTGTGAGGTCCTGCCACAGACTCCTTTTTTTCCCCTCGTTTCGTTTGGCTCTCACGCTGCTCTTGGGGTATCCGCTATTTGTGAAGTCAAAGTCGATCATTCAACTCTGTTTCAATGCTACCATTCATTCTCATTGCAGTTACTTTCTTGCTCAGATAAGGACAGAGTGGTGTCCAGTCAAAGCCTTAGAAATATCCGCGCCCCTTATCCTTATCACTTTGTGTGATGCTTCCAGATGAAGGGCAGAGCCCGAGTTGTGGCTCATCGTGTTCGCGGATGTCGAAAACAATAGCTCTGACCCACTCAATTAATTCTCTATAGAAAACATTCCAATTACTTTAATTTTTACTTGCGAGTAGTAATTAGCTTGGGCGTAAAATACATATATAATGCCATCTGGCACACATTATACAATTCTCTCGCAGTAATCCTCAGTCCCGTAGGTGGCAGTTGAATGTTTGTATAGTTAATATACACTTACCAGATATACCTGCTACCTATGCATCCAAAGTATACTACATGATCGACTCGAACTTTGCATTCTACCAGAAATAGACCAGACCACTCGCCATAACCACTAGGTTACCAGTGACTCATATGACTGGAGCGTGTTTCACATCCGTGAAAGATCTTGAAAATCAACATCAGGGATTGATTCACTATAGCCAACCAAACACTTGACAAGATCCTCTTCCTGCCTATCTTCCTTCCCACTAATGTGGTTTTCACGTGCACTCTTTATGACATTCTTCCCTGGCCTTTTCACTTGGGAATGTGGATAGTAGTACTATAGTAGCCACGGATCTGGCCTGGACACCTGATGGGCCGACAAGATATATATATATATATATATCTATATATGTAGTATTAGTATAACGGACAGATGATACACTGGGCGGCCTAAACAACCGAGTGATCATGCATCAACTATGTATGTAGTATGTATGCACCACGGACTAGTAGTCCCTGAGGTCATACAATGCTTGAAGAAGTTCACGGTATTTTCTGTGCTATTATATTAGATTTTTTTTTTTTTTACATTTGTTCACGTGGAAGAAGAACTCCTACTACAATGGAGTTGGGTGTCATGGATGTTTTTATTACACTAACGTTCATAATGTGTTTATTCCCAAATGCGTGGTATTTCCGAGCCAAACCTTTATATAACATGATTCAGACATGGATGCTTGGTTTATGAGCATGTCAATGGCTGGGAGAAGATAGAGGGTGGAAAGGTGGAGAAATGGAAAAAAAAAAGGAAAGAAAGAAGAAGAAACAAAAAAGATATTCTTGTGTCCCCAGGGAGGATCGAACTCCCGGCCTTGGGATTTCCTGAAGGTTGAGGCCTTCAAGTCATACTTTGCTTGTATGAGACCCACGTGATAACCACTACACCATGGAGACATGTGCTGGTGACATCCTGGCAAAAATAGTGCATAATAAGCCAGTGCATTATGCGCACCGATGTGATAACGAAAGATGAATTAGATGCAGCTGCACCACTACGGAGCAGACGCGAGAACTTGCCCATACACCGATATAAACCAAATAGTATCATATACTGTTTTTTACACTTCGGATACATAAGCTCCTGTTCGATATTCAGATGCTCCCAGAACATAAATCAGTGTTCATTCGAAATAACGGGCAGTATCACATTGTAGGCAATTTGAGGGACCCTAGGATAAGAATCATAACTGGGTCTGACCAGCAGGCTCCGGAGTAAATCAAATCATAGATGAAGATTATATCACGAGCTAATCCGCACGTGTACGGAATGACGGAAACTGATGCAGAAACAAAGAAATCCATAAAAAGGTGCGTGCTAAAGGAAACGTTCGTCAAAGTTGTAGATCATGTCAATATCCATGCGACAGTAGGAAAATCTTTCCTCTGAGTGACTGAGCAATCCATAAGACAGCCGCCGTGATTGGAGCTGCCTGAATAAATCCTTTCGTTTCTCTCTCCCTCTCTTTCTTCCCCTTTCCCCATCGATCTCCTAGGCATCTGAGTTTCTTTTCTGATTTGGACAAGGAAACTCACGGCTTTTCAGTGCTTTTCCCCGAAAGGGAAGGACAAAAAAAAGTACAACGAAATAAAGCATAATTCTGACGCACATAGCGAAGACAACATGGAATAAGGGAAAGAAGGAAAGGGGCGACAAATGAAACACCAGTTAGGCAAAGATGATATAATCAAGAAAACAGCCCTCATCTTTAGTCCATGAAATCACCCCGAAGAATCTTTTCCTGAAAGAAATCAGGCTTATTCTGCTTGGGCTGTTTTGGCATCTCTCGAGCTGGCTGCTCCATTGAGGCAATCGAAGCAGCCCTCTGATGGTGATTCTGGTTGCCCATATTGACTGCATGCTGGTTTTGAGGTGAATTAGGCGATACAACGCCCAAAGACGGCGCTCGCTCGGCCCGAGTCCGCAAGGCCTCAGACCAGTTGAAGCCTTCGCCTACTTGTCGCCAAGACGGGTTAGATCTATCGTTCTGGGGAAAGGCTTTGTATGTACTTGCAACAGTTGAGTTTGTGGGGTTAGGGGCAGAGGGAGGGCTGGCTAACGACGAATTGCGCCGCCCTCCAGCCGCCTGAGATGCAGAAGAGGGATATCTACCATTACCAATGCTTCCTCCACGGGCATCACGCAATGCCTGCGCACCAAAGGAGAGACGTCGAGTGAAAGGAGAGCTAGGGGTGGCATTGGGAGGTCCATTTTCGTTGTCTTCCACAACGGCTTCCTCTGGGTTTGCCGAATTGGATCCCACGGAACTAGAGATACTTCCATGACGGATGTGTCGAGGCCCAAAGGGAGAAGTTTGGGTTGGGGAGCCAGAGAGTCCCAATGTGGTTATCGACAGTCGTCGTCCATGATTCGGCTGACTGCCAGCGACCGTATTGGCCATAGAGCTAGGTGGTGCACCAGCAGCCCCTTGACTCCCGGATCTCGAAAGATAATCTGAAAAGGAAATCCCGGATGCCAGAGATGCTCGACGCTGGCGCGATGAAGGGGGTGGTACGGAGATGGGAGATGTTGACCGGTCGTTTGACATGATAACAGAGATGGGTAGTCGATGGTCCCAGGATATTTATCACAAGCACAAGTATAGAAGAACGGGTAGATGGACGATGACGGATAGCCAAGTTTAAGGCGAGAAACGATAATATCTAGTCTCCCAGACAAGGGTACCACTAGGTGGAATGGGAAATAGATATACCGAAATTATAGTTACTAAGATGAAGAAGAGTAGACTGAAATTGGAGATATTGATGATGAGCCTTCAAATCAATACCAGACTTATGACGTCAATCGGGTAGCCGCTTCGATAGGGAGAGCAACGGAAGAGGCAGCAGAACAACCCCCATTAAGAACCTAGATGGGAGATACCGGCAAATGTCAGTCGGAGGGAGATATTCAGCGAAGAACCCAAACTTGGGACCTTCCATGTGGCGGTGGCAATACAATACAGTGGAAATGGTTGAGGGTGTATCTTAGGAGCAAAAGAAACGGAGAACCAAAAACCAGCGCTTGAGTGCTATGGAACACTGCGCAAGGGAGGAAAGGATGAAAGTGAAGGGAGGTCCAGACTCAGTGCTAGTAAGAAACTAAGAAACAAATGATGGATTCACTACCGGTGTATTATGGGCTAAGCCAACTTACTGGAAATATGCAAACACCCAATGCTCCCCAATACCTTGAAGTTATATGATGGTAGTGGTTATGTGGGTAGTAGCTAGAATAGTGAGGAATATATGTATTGGTTCTTCTTTTGAGAATAAGATGATGGAGGGGGAGGATTCGTGAAGGAATGATTCGAAGAGGGGGTGGTAAATTCAGTAAGCTTTCAAGTAGCCGTGGCTCGTGAAGAAGTGAAGAAGAGGGAGAAAGGGAAGAAAAGAAGAAAGCCAGGCCGTAGCCGGCAGGGATGTTGGGAAGCGCAACCTGACAAACGGTTGGTGATTGAAGGGCGGAGGGGATGAAGAAGAGGAGGAACGGGACGATTCCAGTGGAAAGAAGGGGGAGGAGGGGGAAAAGGGAGAGAGGGAGAGAGCCTTTAACAACAACAAGAGAGCACAAGGAAAGGAATGAAAGCTTGGGAAGGTTTTACCCCACAAAACCACCTCGATTGACTCTTGACCGTGGGCCAGAACGGGTCTAGCCTTCTTGGGCAGGGTGCAGCTGAACGGTGAACCAGACAAGACGATCCGGGGTCGATGATTCATGAGTCGTCCATCCATATAGACCCATTAATTAGAGATCATCTACAAAGTACCTAAATTTTTACCACTGGTTTGTTCTCTTCACAACTTGACGTTGAAGTAAAAGGAGAAGCCGTGAGTACCTTTTATCAGTATCACTCATGAGTATTCTTTCCGGTCACAAAAGTACTGTTTTGGCTGTTGTTGAATTTACTCAAAAGTAGGCAAGGGTAGGAAGGATGCGGCATGTCTGGTATGCATGGCATGCCAAAAGTACATACCTTACATAATACTGTTGTTCCTTAAGAAAATACCATATAAACCCGGTATGTTACGTACGGGTATTATTCTCTATGCATATTAGACATTCGTATGTATGATGATACGGTATTGATTTTCACCTATCCTTTTGCGGAAGCACTACCGAGTACAACTGCAACTCATATTTGAAATATATATATTGATCTTGTTATGCGCTTATGAGAGCTGTGTTGGGAGCTGTGCCTTTTTTATATCGAGCTAGAAAACATGCCAATACTCATATACCACGTGTCAAGTCTGTGGGCGTTTTTTTATTTTGCTTTTCTATTGGTCTTTTGTTTATACCCCAGACCATGTCCGTTTTTGTTGTTCTTCTAAGGTAGTATAGCTTTCTATATAGATATGGCGTAGATAAGGTACGTGTACTGTCTTATCTCGGCCTCAGTGATTGAGGATTTATTCGTATACCTCTGGTCTTTGGCCAGTCCTCAGGATGTGTGTTTCCTTATCCGGGAAGCAGAGGGCGTGTGGCCCTAGAGGCAGACATACTCCAGGTGAAGCATGTCCGCTTTCGACACACTCCCAGTGGGAAGGTCTCTCGGGGCAGTACCAACTTAGGCTGCAACAGTATGGCGCCGGACGATTCGTTTTTCAGCATCCCAATCCATCTGTTCCTCCCTTCTTCTCACCCTCTGCCCTTTGTCTTTTTCGCTTATGCTTCTTCAAGTCTTCATCGCGGTGGTCACATTCCTTCTCACGTTTTCTCCTGAAGGATATGCAGTGTGTCCTAGTCTTGAGGCTGTGAGTGGAATAACTGCAAAAGTTTCCACCCCACCTCCGGCTCGATCTCCGTACCGTCGCGAGCGATCTTCACTTCTCGATTTGAGTTCCAGGGATTCCGCAACCCTCTGGTACGATGAAACGGAACTCGTGTAGTCGAAAGCCATCGAATTCTGAACGGCTTCCCAATCAATTGTGCCCCCATATCTGTAGCTTCTTCCGCCTTTTCGTGGATAACCTTCTCCTTCTCCTTCTCCTTGCTCGCACCGCTCTCATCCTCTGAGGTCTCCGCCTCCCAGAATATGGTCCCCCGCGCACTGTCGTTGATTATTCGTCCGTTAGGCGCAGTGGATGTTGCTGGAGTGGGCGTCACGTCTAGAGCCTCAGGATCAGGGGGGTTGTCCAGTCGCGAGGGCATCTCCATAGCCAAGTTCTCGTCATCTTGTATCGGCGACATCATACGGGCATATCCATAATATTCACCTGACTTATTGGCGGAAAAGATGAGATAGACATCATCAGCATTCTGCTAAGTGGTCAGCGATCTATTATTCTCGCCTGTCGACAAGAGTTATCTGGTGGGGACACAGAGCTCACCTCGTAAGCCTCGTTTAGCTGCTTCTCATTATGAGTTTGAGTGGCCCAGATATTGTTCTGTCGACTGATTTCAAGGTCATCAACACTTAGGCTTTTGACTATAAAGTATCTGCTAGGGACCCGAGCGTGCGAAAGGCTACCTTCTGTAGCCTTCTTCTCAGTCACAGCGTCCGATGGCTTGGTTTCTTCTTCTTGATATATAGCAGGGGTAGAAGAGCCCATAGATTCAGTATTGGAACCCAGCGAAACAGCCCCTTGGCGTAGCCGACATACAAGACGTGCTCCATGGAATCTAGAGTCGTTGAATCTTGACAATGCTGCAGCACAGGCGGCCTCCGTTTTGTAATTAATGAATGCGCAGTTACTCTTAGAGATGAGGAAGACGCTCTCGAGTTCCTTTGTGGCGTCCTGAGAAAAGTAGTCCTTCAGGTCAACAATATTGGTACCGGGAGGAAGATTGCCGACCCACAGTGCATGTCCAGATTGCTTTGGCTTTCGCGGCGGTCCCCTTGGAGCACTTGACGTAGTGGTATTAGATGAATGCGATCCTGAGTCTGGTATACCGAAGTCATGTCAAAAACACATAACTCGCTGCTCGCATGGTCGGGCCCAGACTTACCAGCAGAAAATGTTTGAACGGGGTGGGGCCTCATAGGTGTTGATCCGTCCACGATGGTCTTGGAGACGTCATATTCCAGATCCAGACGCCGTTGCTTATTTTCTTTCCCCAAGCCGGGTGTCAATTTGGTTTTTGGACCCAATGTGTTCCGAGGCTGAACGCGTGGCTGCAGTTGCACTGGAGATGATGTAGTCGGAGGACCCGGGCCGTGTCCAAGGGCTGCTGTGTATGTGGTCTGGGTGTAGTAATTTGGACCGTATCCAGATTGGCCAGGTATATGGACATTCATGTGAGCGGCTGAATGGGGCCCCAAAGACTGGTAACCCGCCGCACCGGGAGGCAGAAGAGGGTCCTCGGGTTGCTGCTGAAGATAAGGCGTGTATACCTGATTGAAGGGACCGTTGAAGGCCATATTAGGATTCATTGGAGGCCCAGTAAATGACGGCAATGGCTGCATTGCGTATACAACGCCGTGAGGGTGAGCTGTCGGAACAAAGGGCTGCTGAATATGATGCTGCTCATATAGGATGGAATGGCTCTGATACCCAGGCAATGCGGATCTCATGTCCCGCATGCTAAGAGAAGGCGCCCCTCCCCGTGCGGCCTGTGCCATCTGGGCCTGTGATTTGGGATATTGTTGGTCATTATCCGATCGAGGAGCTTCGCGGGAAGTGGTGATTGTCGACACTGAGCCAGATTTCAGTTCTACCAAAGATCCCACAGAGCGATTATCCCAGGTAAGAAACATACCTGATTGTGGAGGAGGCTCCTCTACTTCATGCGACTTATTGAAGGCCTGTGGTTTGGCTCCGTTCGGACCCCCCTGCGTTGAGTTCGAGAGAGCCGAAGGAGCGTCACCATTGGGATATGTCATGATAGACACAAACAAACGATAAACCCAGCACAGGCACACTCCTCCACATGATTAGTTGAATCATCTTAAATATACCTGGGGGGTTCGGAAGCCTAAGGGGGGGGGCTGGCGAGGGACTGGTGCAACAACTTACCTTGCCCCAACCTGTGGGTTCAAGTACGCTCTAAAATTTGCGGGCAATAATTCCGCTGGGGAGCCAAGTGATGTGCCTAGGATATGCAAACACTGGTTAGAACCTTGACGGTGTCTTAAAGATTGATTACTTCCACAAAAAGTTCAGACGGTGTGCTTTGCAAAGTAAAGGGACGATGAATTGCAAATGCCCACAAGCGAGGAAGACTGATAGCCTGAGGTTGCGGTAAGAAGAGACAAGAAGAAAAAGAAGAAGACGAAGAAGTAAGAGGGGGGAGAAAAAGCCACAAACAACAAGAAGGATCAATAAGAGGGTGGAAAGGTCCCCGACAACTGGGTCGCGTAAGAGGGCATGGACGAGTGGGATTACTGACTTGTACAAGCAAGAACGTGAGAAAGAAGGACGCGGGATCTACACATGAACCAATAGAACAAAGTGATGTAGGCCAGAGAGGATATGTAGAGTGAAGAAGAGAAACACTTAGACGAATATAAGAGGTTGAGCGAGCACACCAAAACACAAGGGAAGGTCCGCCTGACATCTGAGTGCTAAATCGTCAGGTTCTTTTTGGGGGCAAACAGTGCAGTTGTAGGACTGGGCGAACGAAGACACGGGGCCACTCAGTGAAAGATACACGCACGAATCGCCGCGCTGCCTTAAGAAAAAAGGGTGGAGAACAAATCAAGCGTGGAAAGGATTATAAACGGGACAATTGGGTATCAGAGACATAAAAAAAAGGGAGGGGCATAGGCGGCTACGCGCACAGAGGCACGGTGCAGAACCACGACCAGGAAATAATATCCATAGGCCAGGGCAAAAATAAGACAGTATAGAAAGATGCACGAGGGGAAATCAGATGGTATATAGCAGCAACTTCCAGGCTCTTTTACGCCACAGAGACCAGAAAACGAGCGTCGCGGCGAAGAGAGACGTAGGGCACAAGCACTGTGCCGTAGTGGCCCTTAATCACGCCAAAAGACGATGGGTCACTGCAAATTGAAGGGAATAGGGTGTCTGTCCCTCGAGCGCCTGTGGCAACCACCACAGAAGCCGCGTTCTCCTTCCCCCTGGCAGTTCCAAAGGTATAGGAAAATTGGCAGACATTTGTGACTGTTGAGGTGGATTATCCAGGGATTGGTAGGGGAAGGCAATTAATTGCGAAAGGGTGTGTTCTCCCCCATGGGCGTTGAGCCAGGGGGATGGGTGGGTGAACTTGCAAAGTGAAGGGTGAAGGGAAATGACACACCAAACAGTCCTGTGGGATCGCAACCGAAGGAAAGGAAAAAGAAACGGAAGAGGAGGGGGACAGATAAAGACGACTATCGCCAAACATACCTTAGGATGTGAACAGGCAGGGAGAGCGATGACAGAAAGACCGTGCCCCCCACGATGATAACAGAAAGAGGAGCACCCTGCAATCAACAGTTGGTGGCTTTGATGTCGGTGACGGGAGAAATAATCACGATAATAATGAATAATCCTTGTGTAGACGCACCGTAGCCAGGCCTGAAGCGGAGACTATGGAGAAGGAGGGCCCTTCAGACCAACCAGGTCAGCAGAGCCCAAGTAGTCCAACGGATCTTCTGACCGTCAGAGCTCGGAAGGGCAGGTCCTTCACAGCCAGGTGGGTAAAGAAGACTATCGGAACGGAAATGAGGGCAATAATGGCCCCCCCCCCCCCTCCTAGGGACGTTTTGTCAGAACCCAAGCCAAGTCTATATTGGTGACTGGCCGGTGGTGGCGCACAGAGGATCGTGAGACCGTGAAAGCCCAATGATCTGGACTCCTGTCTCTCTGCCTTCCTCCGCCCTTCTCTCTCTTTTCTTTCTTCCCCCCTTTGTGGCTGTGGCTCCCTCCAGCCTAGAGGATATCCACAGTTTAAAAATCGGGGCTGCGATGCGGATCGGGCCTTGCTTCAACGCTTTTAGTTCTTTTCCCATGCAGAGGCCCAATCAACTACCACACACGTATCAACAACAAGCTCGATCCCGATCTTTTCCCGGAATTTTCACCCAGACACAGGCAAGAACAAAAATGTGGTTTGCTCGTACCGGGGATCCGGAGGGAAGAGAGGTAGCGAAAAAGACGCCGATGAAGTCAACTGGCCACCAGAAGAAGAGGCCCTCTCGACCTATTTTATTTTTTTTTTCGCGATTTTCCAAGATGATTGTGGATGCACAAGGGAAGACAAGAGTCTAGGGGAAGGTTGAGGATGAAAAAGGTACAATGGAAAAACAGGGGTTGGAAGCACAGGGAAAGATAGGACGGGGAAAATCAATACCACGACCACAACCACAAGAAATAATAATAATAGTAATAATCATAATAATAACAACAACAATGATAACAATTGTAGTAATGGCAGTAATCGTAGTGATAGGGGAATCGATAGACGAAAATAGAATAAAACAGACAATTATGGGAATGGAGAGGAGAGCATCCACATGGGCAAAAAGAAAAAATATAAGGAAAAGGAAAAGAAAGGAATAAGATGAACAAGATGGAGAGAGAAAGAGAGTATACTCCAATCACACTGAGCGGGAAAGTGGCTCACTTCAGGAAGAAGGCCCGGAAAGGTGGCATGTCCCCCCCTCCCAAAAAAAAAAAAACGACGAAACAGCCACATTCATTGAGAAATGGGGACTGCGTCGTGCTTAGGGTTACTTGGGTTAAGTCAAAAGGTCATTTGGCAAGAGGGTGAAATGGACGGTCTCGATGGCATCGATGGCTTTTGAGGAAGGCCATGATTGGGTACCGGAATTCTGTCCCCAGCCGGTGGAATCCATGGATCTTCCTCTGACAGTTTAAAAAAGGGATTGCCAGTGATATTGCGAGGACCCAAAGGAGCGCAGCCAACCCGCTTTGGTGGTATGAGTTAGTAGTAGGTAATGTTGTAGTAGTAAATGACACTGCTGGAAGGTGGCAAATTCGAGAGGGTCCTGCATGTACTGGTTCCGAGCGTTTGATGGGCCTTAGCCCGAGGTGCATGCGTGGCAGTGACCATCGGGATTGACAGCTGCAGGAAATTTATAGCTCCAGAAAAGAATTGATCTACAGCGCGACACCACTCGCCAGCATGTGTCTTTTTTAATTTTGTTTGCTTTTCTTCTCTTTTTGCTCCGTGGTTACAGCTGCCCTTAGGTCTGTGTCGACGGCGGTCACTAAAACGACGTACTTAGTACTAGTAGTAAGCTGAAGAATCGGGGTTTCTTATTGGATGATCGGAGGATCTAGGTAGCGTTTAAGAACTTGAGATGCATTAACAATCAACATCATAAGGAAGAGAAACTGGACCGAAGTGTGTGGCGATTGCAGATTCCAGAAAAGCTAGGTAGATAATTTTGCAGGTCTTCCTTGAAACATTTACCGAAAAGAGAAGATGGCAATAACAAAAGATAATAATAGATAGAGGGAAACAGAACGTGAATGGAGAAAAGACCAGATGAGTTTCGGGGGAAGACCGTTCGGGAAAGCGACATGCAATTGGAAAGGGGAAAGAAGTGGGGAGGAGGACAGGGAGGGGTGTGCAGTTGGGGGAGGGAAAGAAAACCGTATGAAAAGAAAAAAAAAAAAAAAAAAAAGAAAAAAAAAAAAAAAAAATAAAAAAAAAAAAAAAAAAAAAAAAAAAAAAAAAAAAAAAAAAATAGTAGTTTTTTTTTATGTCTCTCTTTTAAAAATAAAATCGACCCAAGATTGCCATCAACATCATTATTATCAACAGCGCACGACAAAATCATGTTGATAATAATTGATGGTAGGGGAGGTAGGAGGTAAAACCGTAAAAAAAAAAAAAAAAAAAAAAAAAAAAGGAAAAGAAAAAGGGAATAGAAGAAAAGGTAAATGGAAACAAAAACCACTGGCCCGTGTGCATATACACTTCTTCAGATTTGTTGCTCTGCTGTGTTCGGGGACGGGGGCGTGGAAGAATAGTAAGAGAGAAACTTAAGCCACGGCCAGCCCTAAGACCAAATAGACTGGAGGTGGTGGGGAAATAAGAACAAGGCATTGGTGATACTGCGTACCGTGATTGTCGAAGCTCCAGACGTTGTTCGGGATGGGTCACCCATATCCCGTCATGGTCCATGGCTCATTGTTATGCGGGATCAAGGATCGGTTCACCTCATAACTAGTCATTCTGAAAGCTGATAGGAAGGAAAAGAGAACAACGGGGAGCGATTGTGGAGGCAAAAGTTGGGATGGGGGGGGGTTGGGGTTACTGTGAAGAGAGGGAAAAAAAAAAGAAAAAGAAAATGAAAAAAGAAAGAAGTAGAAGAAATCGGCGTTTGTCTTCATGGACTTTATTTTCTTCTTCTTCTTTTTCTTTTTTCCCCCTTCAAGTACCTTCAAAGAATAGTATATAATGACGGACTCATTGTAATAGTAATAATAATTAAAGGATGGTGATGGCGAAAGCTAACCTTAGTACAAAATAGTCTGCCACCTGACCAGGCAAGGGTACTACATTCCCACTAGGGCCCGATCTCCATCCCGCCCAGTGAGCATTACCTCCTACCTACTACTACTGTGTACAGCGTCAAAACAACCACTCCTGCTGCTCGGCTTTCTGCGGGAGTTGTGGCACGTATGCAGCCCATCCCTCCCCCCCTTTTCTTTTGGTTGTGGCTGCAGGCCCTGTAGGTTATGAAAGCCTCTATGGGGATGCGATCATCCTGCAGAATTCTTCTGCCTGCATCGTAACCACAAAATGAAGTAGCTTTGGTCCTCTAAAGTAGTACATGTTAAATATGAAAGTCCTTCTTTTTCTTTTTTCTTTTTTTCCCTATTTACTCAAACAGAGGAAATTAGAACAACAGCCACTAGTGCTGTGTAGAGGATACGGATCCAATATAAGTGGCCTCTCAAAGTAGTAGTGAAAAAATCCGGCACTGTTGCCCCTCTATGCAATACATTCGGTACTCATATTGTCCTCCCGGGTCTCCAAGATTAGCTACTGTAGTACTTTTATCGTCTGCATGGGAATATGGCACTTCTAGTACGTACCAAGATTTGAAATCCGCTCAATCTGTGGTACTAGGACCAAGGACCTTAACATTTGGTTCTCCCGTTGAACTGGTTATACTTTATATATATTAGCCTGTTTCGCTTTTCACCGGTTGCTCCTCGTCGGTTCATTCTTCCGTCGCCTGGAGCTTCTGATCTCCCTTGATCCATTCTTTCCCACCTCCACCCCCTTCTTGTGTCTTGGTTCCTGTTTTTTTACTATTATTCGCTTCTTCTCTGCTGATAGCCATCCCTTTACCCGTTCCTGAATCCAGCCCCATCCTTTGAAACACTGTCTATTGCCTATTTGGTATCTGGAAATTTGTGGCACCGCATGTACCGGAGTATTTCGTACTAGCAGTGCTTCGGAAGGCTCCACACCTGATTTGGGGGACCGGATGGGATACCAGCCAATCAATGCAACACCACTTCAACTTCATATCGTCCTTTTCCGGAAACCCCTTGGTCCAATCCGAGCCGCCACCAGCGGCGTGGCTGGGTCCTTCGTAGCATATGTCGCGGTCAGCACCATGGCAAAACCCCCACTATCAATACTTTTCCGAGCTCTCTTTCTTTCATTTTTTTTTTCTTCCCACTTCTCGTCTCCTTCTAGCCCCAGGCGCGTCTTCTGCTGGGGCCACTGTCGTTATTTTATTTAATCATTTTATTTTGACTTTTTCACTTTTCGGGGGTTGATCCCGAACGGTTGTATGAGTCAAACAACCACAACTAGTAGATAAAGACCCCAATGATCAAACCCAGGATGGGAAAATGGACGAGTTTGCTAGGGTGCAGAAGTCCGGCGCAGAACCAATGATAGCTGCAGGAGGCTGCTGACGACGGTGCTCCTACTAAGGTCACGCTAAGCGGCAGTTTTGTTGAAGTGGAGATCGCGCTGCCTTTTGCGACTTGAGACCTGAATTTGTTGAAGTCGTTGAAACTGTCTCATTATAAGTGGTAGAGTTGGAGAAAGACAGCAAGGCTTCTCTGAAGGCCCCTTTGGCCTTGTTGGGTACTTTCATGCCTTTTGGTACATGGCGTGTCCTTCAATCCAAGCTCCGACCGGGAATCTTTTCTGAGATGCAAGGAGAATTCCAAGGAAAGGGACGATCTTCTGTATAGGCTACCTTTATATCCATCAGTTTCAATACCAGAAGGAGTCTGCCAAAGTGACTCTTTCATAATGACATGTTCTATAGGTGGTCTGGGATGTCGGTCGACACAAAGCTACTGTGTGATGCGTGACAAGAGTACTGCTCTCATAGCCTTGTTAGGATGCCTGAATGGTGCCCAAATGCTCAAATTCTCTAGTAGTCGCTGAATGTTAGCATTCGAATACATCTATTCTGTACCTATACCTCGGTATTGAGATAATAGCTATCAGCGAGCAGGGGAATCAGTGTACACAATACTATTCGCGTGGTTACCGGTTTAGATACGACTAGAAACCCCCAGACTGGGTAAGTAGTAGTAAGTACTCACACGTACCACTAGTAGATACGTAAGCTTAATATCCTAGTATAGAATACTCCCTGTCTAGTAGAGATGATGCTCCAGTTCCAATTGGTAACCACACAATCTCTTCGCCAGAAATAATTTTCCAGCCAGAATTCCATGGCATCAATAAAATGTTGACGCCCTTTTCTGATGTGGGAGAGATTCCCGAGAATCGATCGTTCCAGAACCTCCCCAACAGCCTCAAAGCTTCAACCATGGCGAATCAGCAGCAGCCTCTACCTACCTTTCTACCACAATTTGCCTCGAGCCTCCCGAAAAGAAACAAGAGGGACAAAAGGGAAACCAGTCGATATGATCTTAACGATGGGTTTCACACAGTGTCACCCTTCACCGAGCCATTGGCTCGTTCACCTAAGGCTGTGTAGTCACTAAGCATGCTTCTCCGGCCAGCTTTGCAGAGGCCATCATGCATGCTTCAGCCAGGTAATGCACCCACCCAGGATTGAAAGCCCCTCTTCCCTTTCACTATTCTTGGTATCTGATCAGTCTGTTGGAGAAATGTTTGAGATACACAACACAGGGTCTGCACCCACTTAGAATATGCGGATTCTTCATCCGTCTCGGCTATCATTCTGTTCCCGCTATACGGAGTTGTGAACTGTCACGACTATCACTGCCATAACTCACCAGAAAGATGGAACCATTCGGCCCATTGCAGGCCAATTTCGAGCTATGAACTAACTCCTGTTGCATTAGCACGGACCCATCCAATCTCGGTGAAGCCCCATTCTGTCGACCGTGCCTGGTACCTTACTATAGAAGTAGGGGTGGTGGATGATGCGATAGGTATACAGTGGTCTCAACAATGAGTGATTCATGCACATCAGGTACACCGTATGGCATGATCGATCAATCTCTCTCACAGAAAGGGGGGGGGGAAAGTGGAATGGAATTTGCCACCCAAGAGGAGACAGACAGGTGGAAACCAACTCCATCATGGCGGGGATTGACATGGGACTAGCCAAGTGGGTAATGGATGTGTGTGTAAGTGTGTGGGTGTTTGTGTGCTGCGTGTGTGTGTGTGTGTGTGTGTGCGCGTAGACTGACTTGAATGCATTATTCAAAGCACACACCACAAAGGAGCTCTTCTCCTGCTCCGCCCCCCCCCCCCCCCCGGGGGCTTGCAAACCACAGACCATCCAAGCAAGCTTCCCCCCTCCACTTCAATTCATTATATTGTCTTCGCCCCAAATTGGATCTCAAGATCATTCCCGACCAGGTGAGGGGGTTTGGAATCTCATCGAAGGAAAAGATTGACCGCGATCGTCCGTTTCTTTCCACCGCGGCTGCCCTCTCGAACGCCACGCCGAAAGCAAATGAATATGACGTCATCGAATGCTCTTGAATGGGGCCGCGAACACCTCGCATCCTCCAGCCTTCTCGTACCGCCTCCTCTACGGCCTTTGTTGATTCGAGCATTCGGAAAATGAGAAAATGGATGTGGGATCCCTACAGCCACTGCGTCGGTACCTCTGCCTGACTATGAATAACCCACCAATTGGTACCGGGAAAACGCTGGACCATCTCACCACGGGACGAACGATCCGCTCATCGATTTCATCATCGGCCGACTAAAATTCAATATACATGGCCCTGAATAGCTATGCATGACCGCATCCGATCCGAGTTTTAGGTGGGAAGGTCTGACTACGGTACACAGCACACTCAGGTCCAGCGCCGACCCTGCCACTAATAACTAGCATGGATGCTGTCTCTAATTTTCGTTAGTATCTGCCTGCACCACTCCATAGCACGAAGTCCCAGGCTCGTCTCCACAAACGGGAAACGCCATCTCGCCAGCTCATCCCCTTTGAGGTATTAGGCGCTGCGGTGGCTTGTGTAGAGCTACTGCGATCGTCCAATGGGGGCGTCGGTGGCTCTGTAATTCGCACGAGGGGGGTTAGATAGTGATGCCTGTCGCCGACATCATGCGCGCTTATCAACTCGGCTCGGCGGCGGCATGTGTCCCTTCATCCGCCAGGACCGCCAGGCAGGAGGATCATCCTCATCCTGTCGGATACCAGTCACACCGAAGGACACAGGTCAACTACGGTGGCAAAAGCACATTGCAGAGGCTGCGCCAGCTGATTACCACCCCCTGTTCAATCAGAATTCCCTTACAATGGATTCGCGTGCGCAGCTTTTCCTCATGGGCAAGGGCTCCACTACTACTGTGTGTAGTCATGCTACGATAGGTTCCTTCTCAGCCGATGTCTTAGCCTTCTTTCTACGTCGCATAATGTTCTGCTCACCGTGTTCCACCATCTTGCCGTGTTTCTGTGCCACTTCATTCTCGATGGCGTTGGATTCGGCCTCCCGACCTTCTTCACATCCAAAAGGGCGAGCTCCATTCCGCCATATTTCAAAGGATTATGACCGCGTGGCGCAGTCCACCCTATGTGTGAGATTTTTGTGAGGCGAGACGACTGCTCTGGATCTAGCTTTCTCTGGGAGGGTTCATTTCAAGTTACCTACGAGCCATAGTCTATGACAGGCACGCTGCGAACTTTTTCTACAGGCCTGACGGGGATAGGATATTGACTAATCAGGTGTATAGTCTGCGGGAGTGTTTAGAAGCTCATATACGACATGAATGTTCATTAGTATCAGCTATCAGCATAGCAGAACAGGTTCTGGGTCTAGGTGGGTGAAAAGCTCGAACACAAGCGTACGATGCCGGACCAGCCGGATCTTGCTCGAGTTTACGTAGCACTTCCGAAGATAAACAGGTGACATCAGCTGACAAAAGGTGAAATGACCACCTTGCAAAATGAAGGTTGGGTAGAAGGAAAACAGGGGCAAGGCAGAGAAGACGATGGGGGTGAAACACGGTGGATCGTGGTGGTGGCAAAAGGAAGTAAGACCGGGGGTGCTCCCCATGTGTCAGGGAGAATATATCAACAGAAAGAGACAAAAAGACCAAGTGTATATTGTTGCATACCGACAGAAGCATATTGTTCCGCCGGCAGCTATGCAGACTGCAAACGTCTCAAACAAGAGCTTCAACATCACGTCGTGTCTACTTGAGCTTCGTTATAATTACTATTAAGGAATAGTCCCACCAACATGTCTGGGAGAAAGGGCTCATGAATAATGTAAAAATAGCACTCACGGCGAGGACTTGCTAGCGGTCAATTCCCAGGGAGGCAACCTTTCCAGCAAACCTGGCCCCGGCGCTGCCCCTTTTCTGTAGTTTCTCACGCTCCTTGCTGTCTATGGAGCTCGGCGCTTGAGTTGTTGGAATGACATGGTCATTCCCTGCGCCCCGAATTGCAGGTCCTGAACCGAGAGAATCGGATGTAGCTTTCCCAGGTGATGGAGCAGCAGGAGGTGTGCCAAAAGCAGATACTCTGGCGGTTCTTTGGCTCAGATATAACTGAGCGGCTGATGAAAGAGGGATGGGAGGCGGTTGCGAGGGAATCTCGGCCCCGTTCTGGACCAGCAGCTCTGCGATAGGAAATGGGATGGCTTTCACTGTAGGTGCCCCGCTGGGTTTGACGGAGAGGTTTGAGGCCGCACCAGGTGATGCTGGATCTGCTGCGGCTAATGCAAGAAAAATGGCATGCGTGCTGCGAGAGCGATCTGTAATGTTCACATTGGCACGAAGGGCAATGCCATATAGCACGCCCTGAATGTCATTTCTTTTGATCGCAGCCAGAAGAGTCTCGTCTGAGGTGGTAAACCGCGACATGGGGGAAGGAAGTGGCTGAACAAATGCCCGTTCACTGTATTTGGCAGTGATAAACTTCAGCCGCTGCTCACGAGTAGAAGCCGCCACCGGCTTTTGAGCCTGATCGAGGGTTGCTTCCCAAATCATATTGCTGACACGGTTACCAATCTGCAACAGGATTTCAACGATGTCATTCGAAAAGGAGTTGACGTCCAGTGTAAGCGAACGTATCTTAGAAATGTGTGTTCCGAGTGATCGGTGTATACCACTGCACTCGATGCAGAGGACAATCCCCAGATTGATTGAGACCCATTCAACCTTGGATGTAGACCCGCAGTCTGCACACCAATTGTTACCCTGATCTGCGTCTCGGATGGTTTGAAGCAGTTTTGAAGGATTTTCCTCGAAACCGAGACCGTCACCGCGTACGTAGCTTGGTCTTGCACCCACAGTTGTACGACGGGTGACACTGTTGTTGGACCCTGTTGACTGGGAGTGCTGAACAGTGTACGAAGTACTCTTCCCGGTTAGCACTGAGCCAATATCGCGGCCAATGGACGCGTTGTCATTGCCGGACGAGACTGGGGGCGGAGACATGCCGCGGCCCTCAACGGCGCTCTGCAGAGCATTATTGATAGCTCGAATCCAGTTGGCCATGTCTTCCTCTGATGTTGCCTGATAGATGCGCTTGTACTGTGGTGTGATAACCTCGAAACAGAATCGTCGTTCCGCATTCCGAGCTTCTCGCACGGAAGCCATTCGCAAGTCGATAGGATCCATGTGCAAGTCCAGTTTCTGTTTCCAATTGCTATACTCCGAGAGCTTTCCCTGATCTAAAACGATCCAGAATCTGCGAGACAAAGATCAGTTTGGAAGCCCGAGTCTGTCAGAGCAGAGGACAAGCTTACTTATGCCAAGCCTGCTTGTTTATTCCCTTAGGGTCAATATGAGATCCTGGGCGCGACAGTGCCCAGAGTAAGCCTTCCTTCCTCTGCTGGCCTGTGACGATACCGGTTAGTGATAAGGCTAATATATAATTTGAGATGAAGAATGTACACTCCCCAGAAAGACTCCATAGGGTACATACCGGTTGAACTACTGGTAGAAGCGAGCATCGAGGGACCGCCTGAATGGCTGCCAGAGTTGGTCTGCGGCAAAATCGAAGAACTGTTGCTGATGACACCTCGCAGTTGGGATCCTGTGCTGTCTGCACGTCCGAGCTCGTTCTCAGACTTTGGGTTGCCGCCACCATTTCCTGAATGTACCGATGATGCACCCGCATTGGCCAGAGAGTCAGGCTCGATATACATGTTGCTGCTTTTCTCCAGATTCCTTCGCTTTTCTTCCCTTTCTGTCCGCTGGAACTGGAATTCTTTATCCGCTTGGTTCACCTCATGGATAAGTGCATCGAGCTGAGGAACCATATCATCAACCTGTTTGGCGGCTGCCAGAAAACTCTTCGCTTGGGTGTCTGCATACTTGGTAAGATGGGAAAGAACCTCTTGCTCCTTACGGCCACCATGGAGATCCTGCATGAAGGACGAGTAGTCGAAGCGCTTCAACTCGAAGTTGCGTCGCTTTGCCTGATACTTTGAATCACTTTCCACCCGCTTCTTTTCCTTCAACGAATCCTGGCGTTGACCGAGATAGCGGCTAACATAGGCGTAGTAATCCCTGCTCTCTTCCTCGAATTCCTTCTTCTTCGCCTCCGCCTGTTTAATGTCATTGTTGTATAGCTTAACCAATGGTTCTATGACGAGCCTCTGGAGCTGGATGGTATTCAAACGCTCGTAATTCAATATTTGAACTGCAGTCCTTTCAAAGTAATGATCAAGGGCGGGCTGTATGGCGTTCGCGTTGGAGGTTGAGGCTTCCTTTAATGCGTTAAGGAAGGCTTCCACGGCTTCGTTGCAGGCAGTCTGTGCCTGCTGAGCGGCTTCAGCTTTCTTGAGGACCTTCTTTATCTTAGCACGCATATTCCCTGTCTTCTGTTCCAGAGCTTTCATAGTAGCCCGGAATAACGGACCATCCTCAACCACACTCATGTCCTCTCCGGGACGCGAATGAGGAAGGTCGACTTTGACAGGTGGAGGCGGTGCTGAGACGTGGGGCAGTGTGGCTGTTGTATCACCAGCTTCCGGGGGTGTAACAGGGACATTCTGGGAATTGGATGCGGCGTCCGCATCGCTAGAATGGGAAAGGACGGACTGCGACGAGGGAATGCGATTGCGGAAAGGAACATTGACTTCCAGGTTTGGGGAAGAAACTTGTGGGCTTGGAAGCGAGCGCACTGTATTATGCACCCAAAATGAGAAGTGAGCAAGGGTATTCAACCGGTTCGCCCTTTGATCATAATCCAGAAAGCTGCAGCTATTTCTCCAACCACCCCCCTTATCTTCGACCACTTTGGGGGGTTTCCATTTCCAGGACCAGTCGAACTGAACCGAGGGACTACCTGCGGTGGAGTAGTCTCCGACTAGCTGTACATTGGAGTTATTTTGCAAGTTGGGGTTGGCATGGAATTCTCTGGTGATCAAGTTGTCTAATTCCCTTGAGTTGGGCGCATGCGCAAACGTAAGGCCTGTGAGCACCGTGTCGGCGACCTCGGGCAATGATGTTGAGACACCATTGACGGTCGAATTCGCAGCGGTCCCCGTTTGTGTCTGTCTCAATATAAATGTGAAATTGAAATTCAACTCGTCTTCGTTGTTCAATCGCAGAAGGAAGGTGGGCACAGGGGCAGACGGCGAAACATCGGGATCCTGATAATCATCGACGAGAGCAGTGGTTAGCTTCTGGAAGGGCATGACAGGTTGCGCCTGTAATGGCAACGGTCTCAGGAGAGATTCAGCTGATTACCTGTATATATTCTATTGGGCTGTCGTCGCCGGTCTCACGCTTGGCAGCATATCTCGTCGCGGGGAAGGAGTTCGGTACAAGGCTTAAAAGCACGCGCCGTTTGCTATTCGTTATGGTCACGGAAGCGATTGTGACTAGTAGGCGTGAATCGGGTTAACAACGAAAGAGAAGGAGACAAGGGCAAGGACAAGGACAAGAATAGGGACCATCAAGGGCGCGAGCATTTGGCACCAGCGCCGCGTGGGCAGAAACTTACACCTTGTCTGATCCTTGAAGTACAAGTTCCCAGAGTCATCTAAGCGGCTTCCAACATTGCCCATGGTGAAGTTGCGGGGCCTTTGGTATGGAGATCGAATTACCACGCAGGAGAGAGGTCAGAGACGTGACCGGGGCAGTTGAAGGTCACCATCGACAGTCAGCGTGCCCGTAGTCGGATCAGAGGCCGGCCTGACGAGAATGCGGCGGTAAATGGGACCACTCAGTAGAGTACTTGTCGTCATCCAGGCACAAATGCGATCGCCAGGGAGGTCGTAGTCAAGCGTTTGGTCGTAGATTGGAGCGCGAAGAGGGTCGGGAAGGAGATTCAGAGGGATAATAATATGCGGGAGTCAGGAGGAGTAAGTATCAGGTGGTCGCGGGCGGAAATCAATAAGGGCGACAAGCGGGGGCAGGAACGGGGGGGAGGGAAAGTCTCGTTGGCAGTAATTATCCCGGGTCCTCAGCAGGTAAGTACTGATAGTAGAGTACTAAAATTACTATTAGGGATTGAATGGAAATGAATTATGTCGAGATTGATGGAAGAAGAGCAGAAGAATGAAGGAGTGAAAGCGACGACGTGTACAGTCAAGTTATTGCGGCATCGCAGTAAGATAGATGGGCAACATTATTATTAGTAGGAGCGGGAGGGAAGCAGTAGTTCTGACTTGTTGACTTTGGTTGGTTAGTTCACTTGTTTTTTTCGGTGTATGTAAGACGGATGAAACAGGCGGGCTGGAGAGAAGAGGAGAGGAGATAACTAGTACTCCGTAGTAAAGTATTTGGTACTTGGTAGGTGGGAGGGGGGCTGAAAATCGGGGCTGGAAAGCCTGAGGTATGTATGTATGTATGCGTGTCTGTGTGTATGTATGTATGTATGACTGAAAAATGCGTGTATGTAACATCATTGATCCGATCCGGACTTCTTTCTATTCTACACTGCCAAACACAAGAACAATAAAAGAAAGGGAGATCTCGTAACTTACTGCATGCACTATACCACATAACTGTGACATGCCCCGAGTTTGATGGGTGACTTTGTTTTTTTCCCCCCTTGTTCTTTTCAGTGAGAGATGATAAATACCATGTAAATACAACTTTAATTATCCTACATACATCCGCGGGGTTACCCATCTGATACCTCACAACTACATGTATTCTGTGCAGAATACTAGCAGCTCACAGATAGAGGGACCATGCACTGGGGCCGAGATTGGCTCGTGTTCCTTTCCCCAACTGTGGGGGTGTGTTGATCTGACTCGTGATCTCTTAACCTTTTCTACCAAACGCAACTTGGTCCATGATACCCACCATCATAGAAGCTTATCCGTCCAGCTCTCATCCTCGTGCTATATCGTCGCTCCCTACTACTGGGCCGCGCCACGAATCTATCACAACCCTCCCTGCTTAGTAGTAGCTTTGATGGCTAATACAGGCAGTGATGAGAGTTACAAAAAAATTAAAAAATCCAAGAACGAAGAACAGGCATGGAGACCCCCTCATTAGCAATATTTCATACTGAATGAATGATAACCGGCAATTTTCTTCGGCCTATCAACACAGAACCAGCCGTACAAGGCGTATTACAAGATATCGTCAGTAATGATATTCGGAATGGGGTAAAGGTCATGGACAAAAAAGATAAAAAGGAAAAACGTAAGGTCATTCATGGAGGCACATTAGGACGGGTTCTTTCACCACATGAGGTGGGGTGAACTCCCTGAGGTTGTAGGTAAGTTGGTAATGTAGGTACGACAGGGTAGGATTCATAGACGCCTCAAAAGCCCAAACTGAGCGTGTATGGAAGCTACTTTCGGCCGTCAGCAGCGAAAGTGGCTGTGCTTTCATCCACGCCGTTCTCCACGGCGGGTTTTGATGCTTCTGAGCTGTGCGCTGCCGCGGTCCTTTGGCGCCCGGACCGACTTTCAGTATCATCTGGACTACCATGATTGTCTGACTGGGCCCATTTCATCATTTGACCCTTCATGTCTCGCATATCGTGTACCTTTTGGGCAAAGCCATCCTTTTTATGAGGCTGCAAATCACTGCGCTCATTCAGCTCGTCTTCATCCGAGCTGGATATGGAAAGCGAAGAGCTATTGCTGCGCTGGAGAAAAATCATATGATTGCCCTCGTTCTTCTTGAATTCTCTCTGCTCATTTTTCAGAGCCGCCATCCGCTCTGCATCCTCCTTGCAATCAAGTGTGGTGACGTGAAGACCTGGTAGATTGGCGGAGATGAACTGTTTCAACAAGGGTAGGTATTGGCCATTGGGACGATAAGTTCCGCTATCATTGTCGATGAAAAGTTCATAGTCGGCCGGATCAGTCGATATCTCCGGCTCTACCAACGACTCATCACCGGAGTAGCGTGTTTCTGAATGCTGGATTGTTTCCGGGTGTCGGGGATGGCGATGCTTCAGGCGACGCAAGAAGAACTCACCAGAGTATGCGATATATATCGATACATCACTATGCATTGTGTGTTTACTCAGCAAATCAATCCCGAATTCCTTGCCTGTTTCTGTGAAGCGGAATTGCCCGTCTAGGGTGATGACATATGTAAAGATCCTCCCGCCCTGAGCGTAGTGCACAAATTCAAGAAACTTCTGCGTGAGCTCGATACAGGGGGAAGGAAACTGTCCATTGAGGGTGGTCTTGTCAAAGTTATAGATACGCTCGTGTTGATGATGCAGTGCTCGATTGAGTATCCTTCCACGAAGACTGTGTGACGTGAACATTCCGGCTACAAACGGCTTAAACTCAACGTAACGGTGATAGAGCGGCGTAGGCACAGGGCCCTTGAGCTGTATTTGGATTGCCTGAAAACTGAACAGAGAGACTGTAAGCGTATCATTTTCTTCAAAGGGTTTAGGGCAGGGGGAGGGACGAACTTATATCGAGTAATGGTTTTCTTCTCATCACGATGGCTTTGGACTTCATCTTTAGTGCCCGCTATCCTCCCGATGAGGGGAGAAAAATGCTTGAACCAGTAATTTGGTCCAACGGTATACATATGAGCCCCTTCATCTCCTGGTGTTTTCCCTAAGCACTGCACGCTGATTACAATATGTGACTGTACATCCAGACGTCGCGACGCCAGCGCAGCAATGTTGCCGAACAAGTAGACCCGTTTGCTGCCCATGCGCTTCTTCAGGCGAAGGTTCTGCTCCTTGATGCCGGGCCATTGTCCATTGACCGAATCCACGTCGATATAAGCGTTACCGAGTTTGTCGTCATGGTCCGCAGCGTCTTCATCGTACACATGACATTTCAGATGGAAACCCGACGCAGGGACATTGGCAACGATCCATTCGCTATTCCATTCTGGATCGCGATTCTTGCGCACAGTTGGAGTCCGGAAGGACATAACGGGGTCCTGCTTGTGGCGTTGGGGTAGGTCGACGATCAACTGGGCGAGAACATAAGGGTCGGAAGAAAATGTACCAAAGTCTGCGCAGGGAAGGTTGACTCCACGATGGAAGGTGAACTTCAGTGTATAGCCCGGTGGTGCATAGGGGTATGGTGTGCTATCGAACCCCCCAGCAGGCTCTGACTGAGACGGGTGGTCACCACTCAGAGCAGCCTTCATAGCGGCAGCCCGACCCTGCATGTGCTCGGACTTGTCATAGAACTTTGGGCCATATTTATCGACTGGATGCCGTCGCCGGGTTCGCGGTTGGGAGTCTTCCATGATTTGGGGGCCAAGAGTGGTGGCGATGATGGTGGGCGGTCGTTGTCGCTCCTAAGTAGTCACTATGGTTGTTGCCTGTGCGAGGTTTTGCGAGTAGCGGACGGGATGGGGATGTTCGTCGCGTAGTGTCCAAAAGTAAATAACTAGGACGGATATCAGACGATCGGCAGGTTTAGATTGGAATCCCCCTATTGATGTCAGTGATAATGGAGAGCCCAAGTGATAAAAATTGCGATCCACACATCCCGGGCTGATAATTGGGGAAGAGTGAGAGATCCAATGGTTCTTGGCCTTTCCCCCTTAACCCCACGGGATGGAGATTGGAAATGATGAATCTACGCAAGCCTTGCAAGGCTAAGGCAGTTTAGTAACTTTGGCCGGAGGGCGGCTATGACGATGGCGGAACACGCGGACCCCAACGGATAGGGTAGATAGAGATTAGGAAGGAGAAGAGCGCATTCGGGGGAACGAAGAAAAGCAGGTTGGAGATCTTCCTCCCATCATCAGATGCACTTTAGTGGTGTGTCTGACATCATTTTCAGCGCCCTACAGGGCTATCTGTGCAAGGGAGGTACGTAAGAGGAGACACGAAAAGTACCAACCAAGATGATGGGGAAGTAAGAAGTGTGGTACGGAGGTAGTACTTAGAATAGAATGAATGACCACGGAGAATTAAGGCAAAATGCCCTGCAGAAGAGATTGTTTGGTTGACCCCCAGGGGGCTCCCGAAGTTAAAATCTCTTACTAAAAAAAAACCTCTCCTGATCGTTTATGATTTTTTTTTCTTTACTTTTTATTTTACTGCGTAGAGTATCTAGTATGTACCGAGGCCCCAGAGCATACGTAGACTTCATGTAGATGTGAGATCCTTTGATCCACCGTGTCCGAATTGTACCTGCTCTCCCACCATCAAGAACGCCGTCATCGTTATGTACCAGCGAAATCACAAAAATCCCTCCCCCACCACCCGCTGATACTAGTCTAGATAGCTACTGCCCTTCACTTAATCCGCTGTTCTCTTGACTGATTCTCTGACCTATGTCTATCTCTAAACACTCGTTCCCCCTCTTTACTCTTCCCTTCCCCTGCCTGACCAAGCCTAAGATCCTCTAAACAAAAATTGCATGTCTTCCGGGGTAAGCTTCTCTAGTTTCTCTCCTTGATCTTTGTTAATGGTACCGTTGATCATGTTGGCCTTCTTCTCTTGTAGCATAACTATTCGAGATTCTACCGAATCTTCAATGCACAATCGAGTTATGACACAAGGTCGGCGCTGGCCGATGCGATGACATCGGTCTGCACTCTGCCATTCTGCAGCTGGGTTCCACCACCTAGCACCAGTAGAGTTAGTTGGATAGACATTCGTTCGCGTTGCTACTTAATGCCACTTACGGGTCAACGATAAAAACCCTCGACGCCTCGGTTAAATTCAAAGCCACACCGCCGGCCTTGAGGGAAACTAGAAACACTTCGACATCGACATTGTTCATAAAGTATTCGATAGAATTCTGGCGTTGTGCCGGTGTCATAGTTCCATCGAGCATGACGGTGTTGAAACCAGCTCGACGTAGACGCCATTCCACAAGTTGCAACATCGAGGTGAACTGGGAGAAGACAATTGACTTCAGTGTCTGCTTCTTGCTTCTCAGTTTATAGAGCTCGTAAACAAGCATCTCAATCTTGGTTGACGATGTCCAGTCCTCCATGCGGATCCGATTGATGATAGAATTTTGCTTGATGCACTCTTCCTCTTGCTCGATGTCAGGTTGTTCGAAATCGATCGACAAAGGGATGTGGCACCGAGGGCAATCGACGATTGAGCCCACATCGAACGACCTAACATAGTCTTTGGCGCATCTTCGGCAAAACTCATGATGGCAACGGGAACGAATTGCTTCTTCCGCCGGTTCGTCGCAAATGCAGCAGACAAGTACGTTTTGCCCGGTTTCTGCGTGTTTCTTCAAAATGAGGTCTGGGTGATTCGCAACCTGGCGCATCTGCATAATAAGGCCGAAGATATTTGCGTAATTGTTCAACATGACACCACGGCTTACATACGTATCAAACTGCCTCGTCGTGTTAGTCATGATGCTCCGAGAGAAATCACGTTCAATCTCTCCAAAGAATTCGTTATGGAGAATGACACTGGTATAACGTTAGTACTTCTCTCAGTACACCTGTGCCAAGAGGTTACAAACCGCTTTGGTGGAAGCTCCATCGAAGCTGTATGATCTCTTTTTATTCGCCGCAGCATGATCCTATCAGTTATGAGGCGAAGCTTCGACAATGCCTCCTTGCGTCCTTCCGGATTATCCCTCTCAGTGACTTCCGGGGAGTTAGTGATGTCTCAGCGTACATTGATACACAACTTACTAGGATTCAAAATTTCCTGGTTGAAGATTGAGACATGGCTGAACCCACTATATTGAGAATGACATTAGCTACTTGATCATTGTAGGTGCTGATGAAGGACCGTACCTATGCCCGCAGTCAGTGCATTTTTTGGCTGCATCCTGTGACCAATGAAGCTGCTGGCACTGGCACTGCTTGCAAAAGTAGCAGGCAAACGGCCGGACATCCAGAAAGCGAAGGAGAGAAAAAAACTCTCCAATCCGATTTTGGACAGGAGTACCCGACAGACACCATTTGTAGTTTGCTTTCAGTGCAAAGCATGCACGGGCGACACTAGTTGTACGTTGCTACAGACATAAGCCGTCAGTGTTTGATAATATGGCATCATAAAAGAAAGACCGACTATACCTTAATGCTGTGCGCTTCATCCAGGATCAAGCGATGATAATGAATAGAATGAATGACGCCTTTCCTGGTTAATATAGGCTATCTTCTGGGTCATCAACTGGAGTTCTTACTGTTCTCCTGGATGATTCCATCATCGCGATTCCACCCTTTCAATTCTTTGCGGTGAATTGATTCGAGACCAGAATCTAAAGAGAGTATGTCACGTCAGTTCTTAGTGTCCTCGACTCAATTCTTTATGGTCACCGTACAAGAAATCATTATCACATCATAGGCCAGAAGATCCTGCTTTGAGAGGGTTTTGACCTTCGGGTTCGAATTGTGGTAGATGAGGACATTCAATTGACCATTCGTATATTCCTAGTCCAATGCATTAGCGATACTTCGATCCCAGGGTTGAATCAGGCATACTTTAATCTCTGATCGCCATTGCATCAAAGCAACTGGAGGAACCACGACAAGCGATGGCCTACCAGCTGGGTAATCAGACATAAGAAGGGAAACGGCCTGGATTGTCTTTCCCATGCCCATCTCGTCTCCCAATAACCCTCCCTTGTAATGTGATTCTTCTTGTTGCATCATCCAGCTCAGACCTTCAAGCTGGAATGGCTTGAGTGCTCTCGATATACCCGGAGGTTGTTCCGCCATTACCGGCTTCATCGGTGGAGTGTTCCTCAGATCATCCCACATTGTAGTGACGCATGGATGCTGCCTTTCAAGTTTCAGTCTTTCCTTGAGAGCCTGCGTGCTTTGTCAGACATAATTCCAAAGATAGCTCAAATGAGAAACATACACGGGACCCCCTCCTTCCTGTCTCTGCTGGCTCTGAGCGAGGATTTCTGCCCGCTCTGCGTGAAACCCCTCGTGTGGCGGCTCGTCCTCTAGCATTACGCATATTTCCGATCCTGGAGCGCCTTGGTGGGACTAGAACTTCATCCTCATCCGAGGAAGATGCAGAAGAGACCGATTCAATGTCAGTCAGAGGATCGTCGCTTGATTCGCCATCGCCCACATCAGTAGGGGATATCTGGCGGAGGCTACTCTTGTTAGCTGATCGAAGAGATCTTCTTACCCCGCGCGAAGTGGTCGGTCCCCTGGATAAATCCTCATATGCATCGCGATCAGAATCGAGCCCAAGGACACTATCTTCTTCGGTCGAGTCTTCCACTCTGGAGTGAAGCCGTCTCGAGGTCCTTCGTAACTTGAAAGGTGGTTCTTGATATTCTTGAGCTTGAAGATGCTGAGCCAATACTGCATCGGAATCTTGCAACGTGGGATGGCTTATAGAAAGTGCCGCTGAAGACCTCTTAGACCCTGGCGGTGTATGTAAAGACATAGCACTCGATCGTAATTCCTGAGCACGTGTAGAGGCGCTGACCCTCTTCCTCGGTCGGCTTGCATCTGATTCCACAGGCGTGACTGCCATACTAGTTGCGGGTGTACTGTATGCAGGCGTTATGTCTTCGTCGCCGGATATATCTTCGGTTGGAAGGGGAGAAGCAGATGAAGATGAGACCGGATATCTCCTCAGAGGTATTGCAACTTCGATAGAGTATGGTCTATCTCCAGAAGACATCGCCCCTTCCACCGCGGGCTTCCGGCCTATGGGATTGCCTCCATTTTCTGAATTGTTCGAGTTTCCAGTATAAGCTGCTGAGGATGCTCTAGCCAGTCTCGCAGAGGTTCGTCTAGGTACGGACGAGGTATCTGATTTGTGCCCAAAATGTCAGTTACTGCTAATAAAAGTCCGATTGACTTGCAATCGTTTCTTTTTGATTTGAGGTATGCGAATATCTCCTTCTGGCGTCGTTGCTCCTTCGGAGTTGAAGTAGACAAGAGGGTAATCCGACAAAGAGACCTCACCAGCTAGTGGGGTCATTCCCCTCCCGGTAGTTGATGATTTCCGATTCATTCCTGTGAACCAAGTGATCGAATGTTCGTGAGAGCTGATAACTAAGGGCTGGAGATTGTTTGATGGCTGTCACAGATGTATCTGACGAAGAGTGAGGCAAACGGCTGAAGCAACGCCACCCGGGGATGGATAGCTAGGGGAGGTTGTGTACTCCGTACCTTGGCCGCGGTTATCGGAATAAAGCGCCAGGATGATGGGACTTTGGGGCGAGGGAAAATTTTTTCTTTCTTCCCAAAAAAGGTTTCACTGCATCGATCTAGCCATTCGATGGAGCAACTTTAGGCACCAAATCATCGTTTTGCTGACTGTTGCCTGGCCTCAGTCTGCCTTACACATTTAATTGTTATCTTTCCCCCTTGGCCGAACACGAAGCCGATAAGCCCGCCCGTCGACTCTCGCGTTAAGTGGAACGCGAAATCACCACGGGTTCCTGTGACCTGCAAGTGTCGCCACCTTGAAGCCCTTCCAGGAAAAAGAATCACTTTATCAACTATATTCATCTACACGATTCAATATTGTATTCGGCTTCAAGAAAAATGTTCGTATCCGATTTATTGTTGAAGATATATATTTTGGTCATTGACAACAGTATATCAGGGCAAACAGAAGGCAAACGAGGAATCAGATTCGGGGCCCGTATGTTCTCAATAGATTCTTATCTTTCTCCTGTCATCACCCACAGCCTTTACTAAAAGTCACTACTACTTAGGCACTCTGCTCTGACCGATTTTCTGGCTGTAAGTGAACTGTTTCTGTTTGTTCCGGCTTCCGCTTTTCCCCCGATCATATGCGAATTCTCCTGGAGCCCCCCACTGATGAATATCTGATAATCTTCAGTCGAACAACATATCTGCCGCTCAAATTCAGCAAGATCACTTGACACGGTTAAGGCAATTTGAGCGCCAGACAACTGTTGAACGACAAGAAACTGATCATGTCAATGTTGATGATGATGATGATGATGATGATGATGATGATGACGATGAATACCACAATGTCGATGAGTCGGCAGCAGACAAGAAAAAGCGGAAAAGAAAAGAAGCTGTCGCTCTCGCGAAGATAAAGAAAAGCAAAGAATTCGCTCGTCGTAAGGCTCAAGGCACAGGCGAATCTGATAACGATGATGATATCGCCCGAGAGATGATGTGCGAGAATTCTCAGCCCTTTGCATTTCAGCTAGAAAACTGTGAGATATGTGGCAAACGCTTTACAGTAACCCCTTACAGTAAAGCTGGTCCCCGTGGAGGCCTCCTTTGCGCGAAATGTTCGAAGGAGCTAGCGGATGATGAGAAGAAACCCAGAGCTAATAGGCGGGGCCCAAGAAGTGGTCGTCGCCAGAAGCAAAGTAATCTGCTCGATGGGTTTGCTCAACCGGGCGCTCCAAGCCTAGCGGAGATGTGTACGAAGGTACGTCAGGGCTTGTTCAGAAACATGACTTCTTGCTAACCTCCGGCTACAATAGAAAGTAGCTGACAACATTAACGATATCGAAGAGTTTGGAGATTTGCCCCCGCAATTGCTTCATCGTCTCGGTCAGATATTGTGCAAGAGGCGTGTCTTGACTTCAAGAACTCTTAATTTGTTTCTTCGGTCGGATCTTAATTTCATTGATATCTATGATGCTGCAAGTACGTTCTGGCTTTTACTTCTTTCTTCCTCCTCCCTCCCCTTAAATTCTACTAGTTTTGTCTAGTATTTTTTCGTCATCCCGCCAATTTTGATATCCTGCTCGTTTCAATCCTACTCGTTTCAATCCTACTTTACGCCAATGAGTCAAGGTATGAGTGTGCTAATTGCAACAGAGCTTGAAACACAGGACTTCGAAAAGATCTTCGCTTTCATGCCTAATCTATATCACGTGAACTTTCGCTTTGCCAGTCAAATGAAAGATAAGGTAGTTGATTACCTTTTGGATCGCGATTTGAAGATCAAGCGCTTGCAGCTAGATGCCGCAAATTTGATATCAGATGCATGTTGGCAGCAGCTGTTTCGAAAACTGGGGCCCCAATTGGAATCTCTTAAGTTATCCAATCTCGATTCCTCCTTTGACGATGAAACAGTGGAAGTGATGTGCAGGGAGTGCATAGCGCTTCAACGTTTGAAATTGAAGCAGTGCTGGAAAATGGGCAATCGCTCTCTCCGAGCCATTTCCGAACTGGTATCTTTACAGCACTTGTCTTTGAACTTTGTTCAGGAAGTGGATAATGAGATTCTTCTCAACACACTTTCAAAGACCAGCCCACGTTTGCGGACGTTGTCCTTGGAGGGTATATCTACCGCAGATGACCGTCTCCTAGATATTATACATGTCAATTGCCGCGCCTTGACGAAGTTTCGCTTTTCTGACAACGCAGTGTGTAGTGACAGAGGCTTCGTCGCTCTCTTCACTCACTGGAGCAACCCACCGCTGGAATTTGTGGACCTTTCATCTACGAGAGATGTTGACAATTCGAATCCTGATGGACCTGCGGATGCGATTGGCCTTGCATCCCAAGGTTTCATGGCTCTTATGAACCATTCAGGGCCCGGGCTACAGAAGTTAAATATCGCATCCTGCCGCCACGTGTCCCGCTCTGCTTTTGAAGAAGTTTTTGCGGCCGGGAAGACGTACCCCAATCTCGAGGAACTAGACGTGTCCTTTCATACAGTCGTCGATGACTATGTTGTTGGTTTGATCTTTCAGTGCTGTCCTAAACTCCAGAAATTGGTTGCTTTTGCCTGTTTCAACCTGCGAGATGCTCAGGTTCCGGCCGGAGTTGCTCTGATTGGCGGATTGAGGGCCCAAGACCCCATTGTACTTCAGGGCCATCACTACTAGATAAGCTTGAAAGCTCTGCGTGATCTATACCCCTCGCCCCTGGTTGCTCGAATGATGAACAGCTCATGTGCCCTGGTATTGACGAATGCCGTTTACATCATCCTTTTCAGTCTCTGTTTGCTAAGTTACTACTTAATAGGGTGAAATATACCTGTTGTTTTCGGTCTGCCGAGACCGAGCATCTCAATGGAACGGGCATAACGAGCTGTATGTGCGAACCAATTCCGGCCCATGTTTCGGAAAAGCTTCTTTGAATGGGGAATAAACTTCATCATGACATGCAAGTGGTTGGTTGCGTCTTCAATGTACTGAAAAGCAGGGGCGATTGACAATGAACCGTCGACAATGACAACTTAAGATGGAATAGGCTGGAAGGATTTACATATGATTAAAGGGTACTAGATAGTACAGCCTCGCAGACTTGCCAATCCACAATGCGGCCGGAGATCATGAACAATTAAGTATCCTGGTTAGTCTAGCGAGGTCAAGACTCTAGAGTACGAAGTCCCGAATTGGTAGTTGTCTAGATATAAGGAAGTTCGTTATAAAAATGATAGTACGATTCATACTATATGCTTTGAGTCACGGGGGATGTGTATCGAGTGACGCTGAGGGACTTGACAATGTAATCCATATTGTAGTATTATGACTGAAGTCATTGATTACACACGACTAATAGTGGGACAACATAACTACTGTACTAGTATATCAACATAGAGTGGATAATCCCATTACATAGAGAATACTGCGCAAGTAGTTTACCATCCAATAGTCCAGCGTGATCGCGTAGCATCTATATAGTAATGCTGACTGTGGGCGACTAGTTCGATACCTGGTAAAGTGATCATCTTCCGAACGTCGAAACTGACTAACGAGAAATGTTCAATATGACAGGTACATATATCATGATTAAGTAGCACCACTACCTAAGTCCGATAGGTTAGCTGTGGGCCGCCGAACAAGAAGAATTGAAAAGTGATGGAATGGGATACCTATAAGTGGGCGGCGGTAAGAGGGAAGAGCTATCTACTTCGCTACTTCGAGAAAGGAATGCCTTAGCCATCAGGTGGAACGTCGGATGGCGGTGGTTAGTCGTTGGCCCCCTTACATGACAGTTGACGGCGGTGGAATGGTGGAATGCCTTGGAACGGACCGTGTCCCTATCAATTTATCTACCTCGGCCAGTTCTAGGCCTGGTACCAACCCCCTCCCTCCCCACCTTTCATTGATTTCTCTGTTTTTCCTCTTCCTGCATTTTCGGAGATGGGAACAGACATACTCGAGAGAACAAAGTTTAATGTACATTTCCGGTTTCCTTTCACGCATCTTCTCCTGCACCAGGGTGGTTGGTTAAAGTGCAAAGAAACACACATTAAGTAAGTGACTAGTAACTGTAGGGTCTAGATTGATACCAGACAGGGTTGTCAGCTACCCGGGCGGCAAATATTATTGATAGTCATTAATAAGTTACTACGTAGGTCGTAGATAGATAGGTTGTTTATAATTAGTCTTAGAACCAAGGGAAAGGTTTTTCAAATCTGGGATGGTCTGACCAACCAAATCGGCGGTGCCGACTGAGATTTGGCTGGCATTGCTCACTCACTAACCGCTCAGAGCTCGGAAGACTCTGAGCCAGAGTCAGAGATACTATATTTGGCGTTGCTCGCCGCCGGACTAACGCGCCGGGCTCCACCCTCCACATCCACCCACCCTCCAGGGTCTGCTGAAGTGCTGACTGCTGAGAGAATAATAATGTGAGACTGAAAGTGAGAGAGAGACAGAGAGTGGAAGATGTCTTGGGACTGGATGAGCGGTTGGTCCTTGGGTGGATGCCGCTTGTTTCTATTCCTCTTCAGCTAACCAACCTTCTACTCCATAATCCTGTAGAGAGATAGGACTTTTCAGTCTATTCCCCATGAAACATCTGGGCTTCTTTATTCAAGCGGCTGCTACCGCTGCTATAATTATGGGTTATGGTTATTACCATTACTGTTACCATTACGAAGTACTATTCATTCACTAATAGTACGGAGTAGTAGTATGATCATTATTTACGCCAAATTTGCATCAGGCTTACTTTTAGTATGTCCATAACAAAAAGTAGATAACCTGAACTAGTCCGGCGTAGTCTTTTTTTTCCCTTTCCCATTAGTTTTTCTCAAACTCACTAAAATACCGACTGATCTGCGCCCTTTTCCTTTCCATCTTCCCCCGCCCCCCTTTTCCCTTCCGAGTCGTCAACTGGGTGTTCTGATTCTGCCCACTACTATTGATTTTTCCCCTGATTCCCTTTTGTTCCTTGTTGTCGTTGTGTCTTATTATTATCATTA